TGTTGTACAGCAATGTAATATAGCCAAAGGGGCATTCTTGAGTTCAATTAGGTTATTGGCATTTTCTTACCTGCCTAGCATTGGTAAATACTAGGTGTGTAACAGTGTTTATTGAGTGAAAATGTGCTCAGAACAGAGTACGGGATCAGTAACAGTTCCTTAGCCTTGGCTACTATTAGAAGCACCTGATGAGTCCTTCCAACAATCCCAATGCCCCTGTCTCATCCCAGACCTGTGAGGTCAGAATCTCTGGGGCAGACCAGGCATGGGAATGTTTAAAGCTCCCCAGGGGATGTCAATGTACACCCAAGACCAGCACACCATGGTCCATGGACATGTTACTCTAACAGACGAAATCTTCATGATTGTGCTATTTGCTCCCTGCCCCCTCTGACCCCTCTGATTAGCCCCAAATGAGGTTGAGAGGCAGGACGTTTCCTCTTGTTGATGAGGGAAATCTCTTCTGTGTCATGTTTCTTCCCAGGAACATTAGCTGCTCCAGGTGTGGAAGGATTAAGCGAGCACACTGATGAATCTGCTCAGCAATGGTGAGTTTTCTGTGAGTCTGGGAAATGGCAGGAGAATGAAAATTTTCATATTTGAATGGGCATCCCTCCTACCTCATTCCATTCAGCAGTCTCATGCTCTGTGGCCAAGCTGGGTCACTCCCTCTTCAAAACTTTCGGTGGCTCCCACTGCCATCAGAATGTAGTTCAGACTTTCTGAGGCTACTCTGTCATCCTAGCCTAGCTCCTCTACCCTCATCTTCCACTGCCTGGAGTGCTCCCCATCCTCTTCCATAGAAGGCTTATGAATCCCCTGTTCCAACGCCCACCCCTACATGGGTGAGACAGAGCATGTTGCCCCAATACTCTCAGCGCTGTATCTGTGTGGCTTCAGCCTGAAAACAAAATATGATGTTTAAACGCCACCTCCCTAGGGAAGCTCTTTTGGATTTGAACAATCAGAATGGATTCTACCCTCTCTGTGCTTTGCATATCTATCAGATCATACTCATGTTTTATGTGAACATAAATTATGTGATCTTAAAAATAGTGTGAACAGAAAATAACCAAATCTTGTGGACCAGTAAAACAAGTGGCTAAAAAGACATTTAAGACCATTGGCATAACCAGAACATGAGCTGCAACTAATAGTATTGTATTGATGTTAAATTTCCTGAATTCTATACCTATACTATCATTATTTAAGAGAATAGCCTCATTCTTGGGAATGCACACTGAAATATTTATGGATCAAGGGGCCTAATTTCTGCCACTTACTTTCAGATGGTTAAGAAAAGAAATTATACATAGAAAGAGAATGATAAACCAGATGAGGCAAAAATGTTAACACTGGGTGAATCTGGGTAAAAGGTATATAGGAGTCCTTTGCACTCTTCTTGCAACATTTCTGTTGAGTTCAAAGTCATTTCCAAATAAAAGTTTAAATGAAAAGATTGCCTTGGGTATCGAACCACCCCAATCAAAGCTTGCGTCGCCTGATTCACCCACCTATATAACTCTCCTTCTGACCAAGCTGTCAGCCAAGATATCCCTTCAAAGCATGTACGAATTTTGGCTTGAGAGGGTGTAACTCCAGTAAGGCCCTCACAGACACTCATGGCTACACTGGAGAGGGGCAGGCACATTCTCGTAAGGGGGAAAGCCATCATCACCCATCCCCTTCCCTATGTATAAGCCCTCTCTCTCTCAAGGGGCAACATTTGAGGCCTCTGCCAACAGGCTTGGCCAGGCCCTCAGGCTGCAATGTTCTTCCCCTCCAAGAAGGCAGGCAGTGGCATGTCCACAAGCAGCAGCAGTCCCAGACAGACAGTGCACAGCGGACATCTGTCTGATTTGGGAAACAATCGTCCAAGTGGGAACTGACAACCATGTGAGCCTAGAATAGGACCCCGCCTCTCTGGACCTGTCTCTTCTCATCTGTAGCATCATCACCTCTGGCTGATGGGTGCCCAGTCCTCCCAGCTCAGTCTGAAGTGGTGTGTGCAAGCAGATCTAGGCAACCACCATCCCTGGGAGATATAATTCCATTTTGCACTTTGGAGCTTTATCACTGAGTAACCATTTTTTTTTCATCTTGGCATCCTGGGAGTCATTATAACATAAATCTTTTGTCTTTGGAAGAAAAAATTAAAAAGTCCCTTACCTCTGAGCAGTAACAATGAAACTGAGAACGTCTTCTTCCCCAGATAGGTGGCTTGTATCAAAGATCACACTGAATTCATACTTGGGAAAAAGGATAGGACATTTAGTATCAGAAGGCACTTTAAATTTATTTATTTTTTCTTTTTTTTTTATTAAGTTATAGTTGTGTACACTAATGCAATTATGGGATACAATGTGCTGGTTTTATATGGAATTTGAAATACTTTCATTAAACTGGTTAACATAGCCTTCACCTCATTTTCTTAGTTATTGTGTTAAGACATTTATATTCTACACTTAGTAGATTTAACATGTACCCTTGTAAAAGGCACCATAGGTGTGGTCCCACCAAGCATTTCAAATTTAAATTGCATTTTCTACCATCTTCTGTAGTTTATGACCACTGGAAGCTCATTGGCATGACAAATTTTATTTTTCATGTGTATCCTCATTGCTGCTCCTGTTCAGCCTGAACATACCAACTTTAGTAAGGTGACATATTTTCACTTTTAAACCAGGACTTTTAAAATTTTATTCACACATTATATCCCATTTTTTACCACATCTGCAAATCATAACACCTGTGATATTTGCTTCATATTTTCATTACCTCGCTCTTCTAGTTTAGAGACTATAAGGACAACTTTTGTCACTATCATAGATGGGAATCCAGGATCACTTGCCCAAAAGGCAAAGTATTCATAAAAATAAATACAAGGGGC